AACTGGTCCTGCGTTGAAGCCAGGCAGATCTCCAGATCGTTTCGGCTTGATGCGTGTCCACCCAGCGCGGCTACCATGTTTTCGCGCCGACAGAGAGTAAGGGGGCGTTTGGTTTCCTGTATATAGATGAACCAGGCTCTGAAGATGTAACTTCCGCGTATTTGGTTACATGCACGAGAGTCTAGATCTGGCTCTCTAGATGCAAAAGGCAGCCCAGAGCTTGGCTCATATTTACGTTTCTGATAAGCAAGGCTCGCACAGTGCAACGTAGATTTTTTAATGATGTAATTAACATGTGATTAATGTATATTAAGCGGTATTAGTGTATTTTAAAGTAGATTAAGATATTAGAAGTAAAGTTACGACTATTAGAGTGTAGTTACATAAGTCAAATATTTTAAAATTACTTAGTTTATCTATTTTTATTTTATACAGTATGACTTCATATGGGTAACCAGACAGGATCTCTGGTGAGCCAGGCTCTATATATGTAGCCAACCAAACAAACAAGGATAGGTGCACCACCGTAGCCTGTCCAGCTTGAGCCTAGCTCCCATATACAATGCAGGCTCCCTAGAGAAGGGAACCAAACGCCCCTAGGGCTCCGTTCGGTTCTTTTTCGGCGGGCTGTTCAGTTTCGGCGCTATACAAATTTATAAAGAAATCGTTCGGTGGGGAATGATTTCCCCTAACAGAAGGAGTCCTAAATATTTTTTTAACTGCTCTTAAATTTAGGGGAGTAGCTACAGTAGAGGCATCTGTTTCTTTGAGTATTTTAGGCGATGAACATCAGCCGTTGTATCTTGATAAAATGTTCCCTAATGTTTCTTCCTCCTCTAGACTGTTGTTCGTGTTCTCTCAGTCCCCCCTAATGCCCTCCTTTAGCTCCGGTGGTGTCCCTGTTGCTGAGGTGCTCGCCATTGTCCCAGTCCCGCTACTGTCACATTCGCCCTAACTATTCCCATCTGGATGTCCACCGCCGTTGCATTTGCCCTGACTATTCCCATCAGGATGTCCACCGTCGCCCATAGTCGGTGGCTCTCATTGCCTCACTACCCTACCCTCAAAATGTCACTATCGATGGGTCTGCATACCAATCCTAGCCCATTTTAAGTCCAACTGCCAGGAAGCCCCATCACCTCCCCATCGTGTCCACACTGCTGCCCTGCCTCACGTTGCCGCTACCGACGCCACTGCGATGTTGTGCTGCGCTGCCGCTCGCCTTGTCCTTGCACGCACATGGGCTGTCCTAGATGGCCCACGCCGTCGCCTTGCCTTAATGGCGCTGCGTTCACGCATGCCGCGCCCCCACCTACCTTCGCGTGCGCATGTGCTTTGCCCGTATTGTTGTGTAGCGGGTGCACAGACGCCGCCTTAGGTCCGGTCGACCGCGTCCCGCCAAGGCGACGATGAGCCGAGCCCACCTGCCGTGCCCCGTCTCTCTCTCTGCTGCCGCCGTCGAGCCACGCCATTAAATTCGTCAGGGAGGGATCACCTCAAGTCGATTCGTTGCGTTGTTGGCTCCGTCACACAGCTGCCTAGCTACCTGTCCCCACCCCGCCTTGAATGGCTCCCGGTCGAGCTCCAATTTTGGAGTTTCCCACCGCCGCGCCGATAAGGCCGCGTCCGGCCGTGGGTGTGGGCAGCTCTCCCGTCGTCCCTCTCGAGCCAATTCACCTGCACCACTATCATCACCTTGACTCCCTCTCCACCTTGCCCGCCTTAATCGAACCGCTACCGCCTCCCCTTCATCGCTGACGCGACCGTGCCGTCGTGGTGCGTCATCGCACAGCTCGGCCGCACGTGGCCAGCCTTCCTCCGTCATCCTCCGCCCCAACCATCACCTCGGGTTGGTCCATGGTAGCCTCCTGATGCTCACACATTAATCAATTAGTCCTATAGTTGCCCCAGCTCACCGGAGCAGTGGCGCCGCCGTCGTGGATGGCCACGCGTCGCTGCAACTTTCCCCAGCCAGTCATGCCACCCTACACCGCCGCTTAGCATAGCCGCTCGGGTCGGAGATGGTGATCGACCCGTTAGGTGGGCCCGCATAGGTCCCAGGTGGCCGGTGTAAGCGTTCAGTGCTGCCGCTCACCGTGCCGTCGTGCACTGAGTCGCCGGGGATGTGCGCGGGTGAATTAGGAAAAGGCCAGGGGGTTAAGTGAGAAGTTTTGAGAGAGGGAGAAATAGTGGAAGTAGTTAGTTGTAATTCAGGAGAAGTACGAGGTCTATTTTGCAAAAACATCAGCGCGGGTGGGGTTTCCCGTCGTGGGCCGTCTCCGCGTGGGCTGGCGCCTTGTGGGCCGCACCACGGGCCGCCGCACGCTGCGTCGCATCAGCCACGCGTGTGGGCCGCACGAGAGAATATGTTTTTCTTTTTCATGAGGAATTAGAAATTGTTTTCTAATATAATTTTTGAGCTGGTCTTTGGTAAATCATATAAAATCATGTAGGTATCCAAAAATTATGCAACCAATTTTGTTAGGTTCCTAAAATTGTGCTCTATCTGTTAGTATATTTAGTTGATATATGTGCTTGTTGATATCAGGAGCTATTAAATCATTTGAGAGTGCTCAATATTATTAAGTTAATTATTGTAGGAATTTTTGCGGTAGATTAGTGATAGCTTTAACTCTGAAATTTCTATAGTAGCTTCATGGCATTATTTGTTTCTTGCTATAATTTTTATAGCCCTAAAATAGACTACTTAATATGGTAGCTAAATACCCATTAAGGCTAAATGAATAAGGGTATGATAATGGTTTATAAAAATTAAGCACTTCTAGGGAGAGCTTGGAATCTATTTGGTAGGGATAATGATTAGCTTGGTATCTTAGTCATTAGAGCTAGCTTAGTAGCTTAGCATGTGTATTCTTATTTTAAGAGTTATTGTTGCCAAAATACTAAGTGTTGCATCATCATTGCATGCATGTAGAGAACGAGTTGGTGAAGTTCATGACCGTCGAAGAGCAGGAGTACGAAGAGATGATCGAGGAGTACGAGGAGGAGGTCCTCGCGTAGGAGGAGGTCCTAGAGATATCACTGACTGACTCAACTGACAATCTGCCTGCCCAAGGTAAGCCTCGGCGCATAACCCTTATTTTGAATGATCACTAGATATATACATGTGATGTGCATTTACGTTACAGGATTTATATTGAAACTACATGCATAGATAACCTACCTATGAGTCCTACTAGCATAGGTCGAGTAACTGCTATGCTTAGGCTATCGGTAGCGTGAGTAACCCGCCGTTACTCACAATAGGTGATTATTATTATTACTCTCATGATAAAATGGTGAAAAGAAATGGAGACCGGGCAGGGATATGGTACGGGTATTGGTGGGTGTAATAGATTGTGTCCCGCGACCAATGGGGCATAGCTTGGTTATATTGTTTTCCCTATCCGTGTCGGTTAAGGACCGTCCGTTGCTGTGGATTCTAGTCAGGTCACAGACTTATTATCCTGAGCACATACTTGCTTATGGGAGTGGGAAGACTCGTTGCTCTCTTGTCGTGGGTTTTGGCTCTTTCTGAACCGACTGATTAGAGGCGGAGATGGTGGAGGTCTAAGCACCATACTGAGTCCGGGACTCAGGAGTGGGGGCTTGGAGTCCAAGTTTGGACAGGGACCTGGACCCCTTGACAGGAGAGTGGTGGGTTGGTCTTGCTTGTGCCTAGGGTACAAGCGGGGCGTGTGTTTCGGGGTACCCAGCTGGGATACATTAGTTCACGAATCGTCGTGTGATACGGTACGGCTTGGCTATGATCTAGCACCATAGTAAGAACTGGAAGATGAAAGGGAGTGAATGGATCTGATTGCTCAACTCTTGCTTAAAAGTAGAACAGTTGCTTACATAGAATGGTTAGCTAATAAACTAATCATGTCTGCTAATAAAACACATACATAAGGATTCACTACTAGTAATGCTTTTCACAAACAAAAAGGAAACCCAGCAAACTATAAAGCTTATCATATCCTTAGAGTCGGGAAATTATTCCCACTAGTCGGATAAGTCTTGCGAGTACATTGTGTACTCAGGGTTTATTTACCCCTGTTGCAAGTGCAGCTTGAGGAGTGGCTGTTGTGTAGAGGATTCTTCTGGTGGGCACAGACGGATCTTTGTCTCTTATCGTTAGATGTTATTTCAATTTTGCTGTTTAAATTCCGCACTCTGAACTTAGTATTGTAATATTGTATTTTCGAGAACTTTTGTTGTACGAAATGAACTAAGTATTGTAAACTCATTCTCATTATTGGATCCTTGGTAAAAAACATGGATTGTTCGAGTGCTCCCTTGGGGTGTGCTCGACGGAATCGTCCGATGTAGCGACGTTTGACAGTGTCGTAGACCAGTCTACTTGATAACGACGATGGATGTCGATGCAGTTTAGATTGGTAGGGTAGAGGTAGCAGATCAGTTTTACTAACAACATCAGGATGTCGACGTCATCGAAGTAGTTGTGGCAGAGACGTCGGTGCAGACGCATGCGTCATAAATTGGCATAAGGTTCAACGGCAATGTCAACATAGAGATTGTCGTGCTGATAACATGTTTTCCCTCTCACTCTTTCATGATCAACATAGTAGATAAAAATAGAAGAACATATAGACATTAGATAGGAAGACTATTTTTTTATCTCAATATTAATGCTTACAACGTAAAGGTCACATATATATATATATATATATATATATATATATATATATATATATATATATATATATATAGAGAGAGAGAGAGAGAGAGAGAGAGAGAGAGAGAGAGAGAGAGAGAGAGAGAGAGAGAGAGTCCAGCCGAGACCCGTTTGAGTCTATGTTTTACGACAAATACATACAATTCCCATTTATTATTCCCATATACATACACTCATTGGGCTACGCAGACTTGATTTTGAAATACGAACGTGAACGTGATAGTGGCTATACCTGGGAGTTGAAAGAAATTTCCCAAAGTGCGTTGCGTGATACGTGCCCTAAGTGCTGCGCGCTGGTGGATCACATAGTAGCAGTAGCCGTAGCAGCCAACGCGCGTGGCGTGATACGTGCCCTAAGTGGCGTCTTCATCATCAAGAAGAAGGTGCGGAACTCGTTGAGGTCAAGGCTATTGCCGTCCGACGGCAATGCCCAATCGAAGTCGCGCACGAGTGCCGTGAGGGTGCACCCTACGCGAACCATGGCGAGGTCTACGCCCGGACAATACCTTCGCCCGGCTCCGAACGGCACCATCCTGATCTCCTTGGGCCCTGGCATGGGGCCCACTCCCTCGGCCTCGCCACCCGCGAGGAACCTCTCTGGGCGGAATTCGTCAGGGTCTGTCCATACCTCGCTGTTCCTCCCGATCTTGTGAATGTCCGTTATGACGACCGCTGGCTTGGCGTCGTCTGGTGCCGGCGGTGTTCCGGCGATCGCCGCGTCCTTGGCACTGACATCGCGCACGATAATGGGCACCGGTGGATGTAGCCGGAGGCTCTCCAGCATCACTGCCCGCAGGTATGGTAGACGACGATGGAGTCGCTCCTCGGAGACGACGATGCCATTGTCCTGCTGGATGCCGCCGGTGATCTCACGGTGCAGCTTCTTCTGGACCTCCGGGTCGATGACGAGGTGGGCAAGTGTCCACTCGACACATGACACCACCGACTCGGTGTTAGCGCCAAGAAATTCAAACACCAGCTTCACTATTTCCTTGTCAGTGAGCGGCCGGCGCTTGCTTCCTGTCGTGGTGGCGTCGTCACCATTCTCGCTGTCAGGGATCTGGAGGTCGAGGAGTGAGTCAACGTAAGAGCGGATGCCAGTACGTCGAGACTGCTTCCGGGCAGCGATGATGGGGTGGACGAGCTTGTACATGCGCCCTAATGTGCCGGAGCAGCGTAGCCACCGCCTCCAGTGTCGGAGCCTCGTCATCCTACCTGAGACTGCAAACAAGGCACTGTCTTGCGCGAAGGTCAGTGTGAACTGCAGCACCTCACGCTCTAGGGCACGCACACAGTGCTCGCCGGCGACGCCGTCGCCAAAGCAGAAACGCGCGGACAGCGCGAACACGGAGGCGTGGAGGCTGTCCCGGACAACCACTTCGCCACCACCCCGGGTGCGGGTGGAGAGGTCGGCAACGAGGGCCTCGGCGGCATCCTGCTGGAGTGCGGCGAGGGGGTGGAGGCGCGTGGGGTGGAGGATGTCGGAGGTGAGGTTGCACCGAAGCGCCCGCCACAATGGGCCATGGGGCACGCTGTTTATGCTGTAGGCTCCGGTCCAGCCCTTGGCCTTGGGGAAGTACGCGGCGGGGCGGTTGGAGAAGGCATCGGCATGGTCGATCAGCGTGAACTGGACGATGGCAGGGTCGCTGACTACAATGTTTCGCCAGCGTCGGCGTCGGGTGGGAGCACCGCGTAAGTGCTCGGCGGTGGTGCTTCGGAAAAAGGCAAACAAGGCTAGAACTGCTAGCCCAAGCGTCAGGAGCAGTTGCGCTAGTGCTTCCATGGTTTGTTTTCTCACTGTGTGGTGTGTGCTGAGACGAGGAAGATTGAGGGCTGGGATGCCATTTATAGACTTTATTATATTTTTTAATTTAATCTGAGGAGACAAGAATTGAATGAATATACTCCTGCTCTACATCCGGATATTCATGAGAGGAAAATTGCTAAACGACATTATTTTGGGTTTTTTTTTTACCTTTGTCTCTGTGACCCCGCGTGGCCGCGTGAGGCACCGCGTGCCAGATGGCTCCTTCGGCCGGTTGAAAAACTAACCGAATTTTACTGATCATCCTCTCGTGAATTCCTCTAGATTTATTTATATTTCTCTAAATTCCACCCGAACGGGGCCATAATGATGATCGAATCGATCGTTAGGAGATACACTCATATTTAGTACTGCACTGGCCCGCGCGCTCCTCCAGCTACCCCATTATTGCTCTGGCCCGCGCGATCTCGTGCTCCACTAAAAAATACTGGACCTCATCCTCAATGGCCATTATTGCTCTGGCCCGCGCGCTCCTCCAGCTGCCCCAGAATAACTACTCCATTTCTTCCTCAATAAACTAACTATACTCCATTTCATCCTCAATAAACTGCTACAGATTAGTACTTACTGCCTCCGTCTCTGAGTTACATACCACGTAAAATATTTCACATTTCACTAAGTTTCTAATAAATAGTATTCACATTTATGATTCTAAATTAATTTATTATAAAAATACATTTCATAATTAATCTAATGATATTTTTTTTGGGACGGAGAAAGTACTATTTCTAATACTCCTGATAGCTAGCATCATCTTCTCGCTCCGCTAGTGCTACTGATGTACTGGTAGTACCCAATGACATCCCAAGCATCTATCCGGACAAGGGGGGCATGCTCCTCGGCCAGAAGCGCTGTCCACGGCGACGTAATTTTTTTCCGTCGTTCGATCGCGGGATGGAGGGTGCTGATTCCTTGAATTAGCTTTAGATGGTGCTTAGTTTCTAGCTTCCATTGGCTTTAGTCTCCTATGTCACTTGCTTCGGCTTCTTGCCGCTTACCGGAGCGCCTCGGTTTCTGCCCGATCGGCCTTCTTGGCCCGACGACCTCGGCCGTTCCTCCTCTCGTCCTTTCACCCTCTTCGCTGCACATCGTCTTCCTCTGCTCGCTTCTCCTGAGTGCCTTCCGTCCGCCCCTACACCCTTTTCGCTGCACATCGTCTTCCCCTGCTCGCTCCGCCTGAGTGCCTTCTGTCCGCCCCTACACTGACGCCGCTTTGCTCCGCCGTTTTGCCTTTGGGTTCGCCTCTGCCAATGGCTTCGTTGGTGGATCTCATGGAGGAATAGTTGATTTGCGCCATTGCTCTGCTCCTTCCTCCGCTGAGTGTGCCGTTCTTGGCGGATTCGGTTGGGGGAAAGGGGGCTGCTGCCAAGGAGTTCCATACATGCTTGCGCTTTGTTCTGCGCCGTTTCAAATTTTCTCGGCTTGAGGTAACACGGTGCTCCTCCACCACAAATACACTCTGTTCCAGTTACTGATTCATGTAGATTCTTACACTGATATGTTACTGTTGTTTTTGGGTTCTTGCCACACGAATCAAGGGACGCAAACGGTTGTTGCAACTGTTTGGATATTGGCCATGGTGTTTTTTGTGAAAAAAATAGTGTCTAAATTTTTTTCAAAAAACGCCTGTAGTTTTCCACATGTGAATCAGTTTTCGAAATAAAATGAAATCGATTTGTTTCAATGAAATCGATTTGTTTCAGAACGAGCCTCCTGTGCCTGCTGATTTGGTTCAAAATTGTGACCATGTTCTCCCTCAATTTTTCCTATCTCTGTATATTGCGCGAGGTTGCTCGCCGCTGCTGTCTACCTCATGTAGCTTGTATACATGAAATAGGTGACGGTGGCGGGTTGAGCTTACGGCCAATGTAGTTCAGACAACCTCCAAAACACTATTTTTCTGGGCTCAGGATGCTTTACATGATAATTTCGCCTATGAGGCAGCAGCATTGCAGACTCTTATAGTCTTACAAAGCATATATGGATTTCTGGTTATTGACTACAGCATCCATGGCCTGCAATTATATAGAGATCTAGCTCATTATTTGTTTCCTGTTGCTAATAGAGGGGCTCAGCTTGCCAGATTGGTCGTTGCAGCGTCAAATGAGGACCCAGTGTCTTTTTCAAATGTTGCAATGTTTGCGCAGTAGTTACTAGATGAGCTTACCTGTTAGTTTACCACGGTTGAGTATTAGGGTGCTTCTAAGTTTACATTCATCTTTTAGGTTTCACGTTTTTTAGTTCTCCCTATTGTATGTGCAGCTATGTTAATAAAGAGGTAATGCTGCTTATTTTGTTGCTTTCCAAATCTTCTTCTTCCTTATTTATTCTTTATGGCCACCTTATTGTTTCTTTCTTACCGCTTAAGATATGTCCACACCTTCTCCATTCTTATGTGCTTACATTATAAACAAAAAAAAGGAAATCATTGCTCGACATTCCTAGTCTGTTACCTTATGCATGATCATGTAATTTTGTTGTTGGTAAACCGAGACAACCTCATGAACCAGACCCACTAGATAAGCAATTGGTTATGATCTATTTTTTTCCATCAAAAGACCTGCTTTCATTGTTATGTCTATGATAAGATGCACAGCCTTCATCGTCTATGGAATACCAAGTTCAAATGCCTGCTCCGCTTTCGTGTATGTACATTGCTTTTTATGTCATTCGCCTTCTTATCTGACCAGTGTCCAGAGGTGTATCCAAAGGCCTGGTTGTTATATTGTTTTATTATATCTAACAATGTATGCCTATATTTGTCAGCGGATGCTTCACTGCATATAGATGCCTCCGCTGCAGGCATGTCGAGGCGCCGCCGAGCAAGAGGGCGTATGTATCCTCCTGCCTATAGGCTAATACATTTAGGGATACTCTTATATTGATCTGCTTCTTACCTATGATGTTCTTGAATCAGCCAACAATTCCTCTTCTCGTCAGTGTGCTTTAGACGCCATCGTGTTTCAGACCTACATCTCCTATACAGGTGCTGCTACCGTGCACAGTTCTGACCTACAGTGCGGTCAATTTTATGAAGAGTTCATAGAGGCTCTCAAAGGTCACAATCCTATCTCCTTATGTCCTCATTACCTTCACCGCTGTTTTCAGCCCCAATCAACTATTCCTACATTATCAATAAATGTTGTAAAGGAGGCAGAGTTGTTATTCCGCCTTTTCTTCCTAGACCTAAACCCTTGGCATCTTTAGCAACATTTGATGGAGGATCTGTTTCTAATAAGTTTATGAAAAACATAAGGCGATACAATTGCCTTTTTGCATTCACCTCTATGGGAGCCAACATAGATCGAACCATGAACGATGGTAGGGGTCCACCGGTTTTCAAAATTTCTAGACAGATCCATCACCACATTGGTGCTATGCTGCCTCTAGATGGTCACTCTCCAAAGTTTATTTAGTTATATGTATATGATACATCCAGCGAAGTTGATAACAGAATTACTTCTTTAGATCATGAGGACAAAAGAGAATCAGATTTGGATCCTACAATTGTGCAGTCCTTGGCTACCATGCTTGATACTCATAACTCATTTGCGTAGCAGTTCAGAATGGCTAGAGATAGATTGGCAGATAATGATGCTGAAGATTTTGTTATCCGCATTGTTGGGCCAAAAGATGGAGATCCACCCCAATATAGTTTACCAATCACTGACCAATTAGCAATGCTTGTAGTTGGTGATTTCAGTCTCGACGCATTTGAGCGAGACATTATTGTACAAAAACAGACAAGAGACCTCCATCAAATCTCTGCTTTGAACCCCGCTTTCATGGCGCTCCAATATCCTTTGTTGTTCCCATATGCTAAACGTGGTTGGCAGACTGGTGTGTTATATACTGGAGCTACTCAGTCATCACAAAATGCTCATGTCAAAGTAACAATGCAGGATTATTATTGCTACATGTTTCACTATAGAAAGAATGAACCCAATCCTTATCTATGTTACGGAGCCTTATCAACTCAGGCCAAGGTTGATGCTCGTGCTTGCGTCGATGAAAATAGACTCCAGTACATAGTAGATCACCAGGCTGATATCAGAATGGAGAGTATCCAAGGAATCTGCGACGCAATAAGCAGAGGATCAGAGGAAGGTAGTGAGGTTGGGAAAATGACTGTGCTACCGGCGTCGTATACCGGTGGTAGGCGTTACATGATACAGAACTATCATGATGGTATAGCCATCTACCGAGAATATGGACCTCCTGACTTCTTCATCACATTTACATGTAATCCTAAGTGGTTAGAGATCAGCGAGGCTATCTTTGACCCTGGTCAAAAACCAAGCGACAGAAATGATCTGATTGTCAGAGTCTTCAACATGAAATTAGAAGAGCTTATGCATGACCTTAGATGTGGGACACCCTATGGACCTTGCAGTGCAGGTATTATAACCTTCATTTCTTCCGTATAAACCTTCCTGCCTATGTTTATGTGCGTACGTCCTCATTGACATACTAAGATCCTTCTATTTAACTGCAGTGCTTCATACCGTCGAGTTTCAGAAACGTGGCCTTCCACATGCGCATATAATTCTTTGGACTTGCAAAGATACACCTGATCCGACTCCCACAATGATAGACACATATGTATCTGCAGAGATCCCTAATCCAAAACAAGATCCGTTAGGTTATGCCTTGGTTGCAGAACATATGATACATGGACCTTGCGGTAAAGACAATCCTAGGTGTCCATGCATGAAAAACAAGAAGTGCTCAAAACATTTTCCCAAACCATATCAGCTAGAGACTACAGTTACCTCTGGTGGTTTTGTTGTGTATAAAAGGACTCAAAATAGCCTCTTTGTATGCAAGAGTGGTCTTCAATTGGATAATAGATGGGTCGTACCATATAACATGCTTCTATTAAAAAAATAGCAGGCACACATAAATGTTGAGTGTTGCAATAAAACAACCTTTATCAAGTACCTCTTCAAATATGTGAC